GTCAACGTTTTTTGTTCATTTTATGAATGACTTCTTCCACACAGAAAGTTTGAAGGAAATCTGTAATCTTAAGAAATTCGAGTGGTCGGTTTTTACACGGACTGCCTCTTAATATTCTATTTTGTGGCTATCAACGACGATCGGAAATCTGACATCCACCATGCGTGCCGAAACCTATACTCGTCTGGGGCACAGTGCCCCAGCGAGTAAAAAGTTCGCATGATGCAAAATTTGGGTAACGGTTTATATCTGCGGATCTCCCTTTGTTATGAGCAGAACTAATGCGCAGAACGGAGAGGAAATCTTTAAAAACGTGGACCTTTATTACTTAGGCTGGGATTACACTATAACCGGATTGATTTTCATACCGGTTTAATTTTCACTCCGAAATAAAAAACAAGGATTTCACACTATGCATGCCGCTTCTCTCTGTTGCCAGCTCACGTCTCGCTGTCGCCATAGAAACAAGTAATACTTTTTGAAAGAAAACTAAAATTTATTTTAAGAACAAGAAAAGAGACGTAACACATCTTTTCTTTGTAAATTATAACTTTGTTTAAAAAGCTTGACTACCATGCACACGTTGCTTCGTTTCGCTCTAGTCCAAACTTGACGAGTATTTGCCCTATCGAAAGCGAAAAGTCAATTGTTATTATCGTTTTCTTTATTTGTCTTCGCCAGAAATAGTAAATGGTTGTAAGTCGAAACAAACGACAGCTCTAAAATATTGTGAAAGCGAGCAAATAAAGGCGACAATGGTAAACCGTACACGCCAAAACACATTTTGTACCGAAGCGTACCGGATTGGCCTGCTTACACTGCTTCGGCACATACCGGATTACTTTTCATATCACCTCCAAAGCGAAGTGATTTTTACGCCTCGGCACGTACTGGATTATAGTGGCGTAGTGTAAACAAGAGCCCAATCCCGTACAGAAATCGCGTCGCTCCGTTGCAATCCGGTATAGTGTAATCGGGGCCTTAATAATAACTCAAGTCTTAACTTTTCAGCATAGAAATAATAGATATATATTATTTCTACGATCTGGTTTCTGCACTTCACTTGGCAATTTTAGAATGCTGCTTTTAAGGTTTGTAATCCAAGTGAGTATATATACATTTTAAGACCTGACCAGGAACGACTGCGAAAAATGCAGCACCTACGGCCCTGCGATTCCGATGCACCGCTCTAACCAATTGAGCTACAGCGGCCAGGTGTTGAGCTGTAACCACTGAGCAGTATAATAACTGGAGGATCTGCTCCTATACAGTTATGCAGTTACAGTCGAACTTCTATTAAGCGGCCACCCTCAGGGATCGCCTTTGCATGTGGCCGCTTAATAGAGGTACGCAAATAATAGACCCTGGGCGTAGTCAAATGTCTATTTTTAATTATAAATCACAGAATACTACAGACAATGCTTTTGAGGTGTAAAGTGGCATGTTTTAAAACATTTTTATGCATTATTTTACAAATAAAGCAAATTAGCTCGGCTTTTTTTGCGGCTGTCTTGACAAGGTGTTGCGCGAAGTAAATCCTGCAGACCGGCCGCTTTTAAAATAGAGGTAAAAATTGACATAAAACATCATTTGGGACCGCTCTTTGGGTGGCCGCGACCGTTTAATAGAGGTGGCCGTTTAATAGAGGGATAGTTTATAGTATTTGTATTACAAAAATTTCGGGACTTCGATACGTGGTCGTTTAATAGAGGCTAGCCGCTCAATGGAGGGCCCCTTAATAGAGGTTCGACTGTACCATGAAAATAAAGTAAGTGTTGTCATGGAAATGGCGTAAGATCCGCCATGTTTTGGGTGACACTTTTTGGTCCCGAGCAGGTCCTCCAGTAATATAGTATAGCTCAGTTCCTGTAACCGTAAGTTCATAAATATATAGGCGATCGGGTGTGCGGGTTTTGATAAGATGGATGGTTTAATGATCTGGTTTCTGCACTTCTCTTGGTAATATTAGAATGCTGTTTTTAGGGTTTGTAATCCGACCAAGTGAGTATAATATAGCCATTTTGCAGGAACGACTGCGAAAAATGCAGCACAAGCTCCTCTGGTAGGAATTTAACCTACGGCCCTGCGGTTCTGGTGCAGCGCTCTAACCAACTGAGCTACAGAGGCCAGCTGCATGTTGAGCTGTAACCGTAAATTCATTCGGCGTTCAACAGTCCGATTCTCGTAAATGGTGGTCAGCGGTGAAGAATATTGCCGGTCTTCAGTCTTCTAAGAATGTATCTACAATGATGTTCCAAGGTAAATCCTACTCTGATGTCGATTTAGCAAATTTGCTCAACGACAAGTTCGTTGCTGTAGGGTCCTCCTTACCCAATCTAAACTGGCTCCCCCTTCCCACAAATGACATTCCAGATGATTTCTGCATCTCTGTCGAGGAGACTGAAAAGGCCCTATTATCATCTAAACTTCATTCATCTGCTGGTCCCGATGAAATTCCTTCTTGGCTTCTCCGAGAAAACGCTTCAGTGTTGTGTCGACCTTTGTGTTCTATTTTTAATTCATCAGTTCGTGAAGGATTTGTTCCCTCAATATGGAAGGCAGCAAATATTACACCAGTTCATAAATCTTCGCCTCCTAAAGATGTTGATTCTGACTTCAGACCAATCTCCCTCACACCAATTATCAGCAAGATTCTTGAATCCTTTCCCTACAAATGGCTACTTGACTCCGTCTCAAAAAAAATGGATTCCTTGCAATTTGGTTCGCTGAAGGGTTCAAGCACTAGTATGGCATTAATCTACATGCTACATAAATGGTTTGAAGCAGCTGACAAACAAGGCAACACTATACGGATTTGTTTACTTGATTTTGCCAAGGCGTTTGATAGATTAGATCATAACATTCTGTTGGAAAAATTGAAAGACATGGAAATTCATCCCGTGTTACTCAACTGGATCGCAAACTTCCTAACAGGCAGACAACAAAGAACCCGTGTTGGTCAGTTCTTTTCTGAGTGGAAGTTTTTAAACGCCGGCGTCCCACAAGGAACGAAGCTTGGCCCGCTATTATTTTTGGTCATGATAAATGACTTGGCTGTAGTGGATGAAACTGTTAAATTTGTCGATGATACTAGCCTTTGGGAAATAATATCAAACAATTCCCCTTCCCAGTTACCCGCTAACATCATCAGCTGCTCTGAATGGTCATCAGACAATAATATGAAGTTAAACGTATCAAAGACCAAAGAATTGCGTGTCTGCTTTTCTAAGCTTACTCCATCGTTTGCCCTTATTACCATTCGCGGTCAAGAGGTCGACGTCGTTTCCGAGGCCAAACTATTGGGCGTTGTCCTTTCGGACGACCTCAAATGGAACTGCCATATTGACTACATTTGCACGAAAGCCGCGAAGCGTTTGTACGGTCTGCGCCTTCTTAAAAGAAATGCTTTACCTTCTCATATTCTGATCTCAACCTATTGTACACATATTCGACCAATTGTCGAATATGCTTGTCAGGTGTGGCATTATGGCCTTCCTCATTACCTGAGTGATCAAGTTGAAAAAATACAAAAAAGGGCATTAAAAATTATTTTCCCTGGAACTATCTATGCTGAATGTTTGCTTAAAGCTAACTTGATGACTCTTTACGAACGTAGAACTGTCCATTGTAAGCGACTTTTTTCGAAGATGTTGGAATCCACTCATAAACTGAATGCCTTAGTACCGCCTAAAAGTCTTCAAACTTATAATCTGAGGTCTTATCCCAACTTATTAGTACCTAGGTGTAGAACTGAACGTTTTTCGAACAGTTTCATTCCTGCTGCGTCTCGTGCTTATAATAATAAGTAAACTTTAGATTATTATCGTTATTTTTATCTAACTTACCTATTTTTACCTGTAAATATAGAATAGATTAAATACCTATGTTCTTATACCCTGTAATTCCAAAGTAATTCAGTTGTTACTGCTAGTTTGGAAATTTTTAATAATAATAATAATAATAATAAAAAAAAAATTCCTACCAGAGGACCTTGTGCTGCATTTTTCGCAGTCGTTCCTGGTTAGGTCTTAAAATGTATATATACTCACTTGGATTACAAACCTTAAAAAACAGCATTCTAATATTACCAGGTGAAGTGCAGAAACCAGATCATTGAAGTCCACCTTATTACAACCCGCACACCCGATCACCTATATATACATGAACTTACGGTTACGGCTCAACAGCTGCCAGCTGACCTCTGTAGCTCAGTTGGTTAGAGCGCTGCACCGGAATTGCAGGGCTGTACGTTTTGAAATATGTTTTTGTATAGCTCCAAAACTTTGCTAAGCAAATATATAAACGTTGTATTTTCTACATATAATTCATAAACAAAACAATCAAATTACTAATTAGCTCTATATCATCGTCTCATTGTAAATATTAAAGTTCTTATGAAAATACCCTGCACGGTTCGAAAATGCCCGCTATTACTTATTAGGCTAAAAGTGCAAATTCCGCAAATTAAATTTGTGAAAACTTATGCAGGCATAGGAGTAGTTTGGCGTTTGCTTGTAGAGACTATCAATTTGAAAAGTTAATTTTCGTTGCAGAAGGTTTGTTTTTAAAAATCGCGTTAAATTGGCTTGCGTGCGAAAATGGAAGGCTCAAAACGCAATTTGAATTCATTGGGTGTGTTGTGAAAGTTGCGTTAATTGTATGTAGGAAATATAATCTAGATTGTAAAATATGAGGATGTTTGTGGGCAAAATATATAGTTGTTTTTGCCAAAACTTATAATGAACGGATGGACAGCGATTAGGTTATCGTAAGAAGCCAAGGCAGCAAAGCCCGCTTTTTGGCTGCCAAGCGCGGAAACCTCTGGAATGCGCGCGTCAATGCTTTGGCTCAGAGACCTTAGCTAATATTATAAATAGAGTTGTAAAATGTAAGAGACTATTCTAAAGAGTGGAGTTCGGAGTTTGAAGTGAAAAGTTTGAGATTGAATCGAGATTAAATTGATGTATTTAGACAATTGTTCAGATGTTGTAACACAATTTTAATAAAGAAAATATATAACCGATAGATACAGTCCCTTGATCGTAGGAATTGGGAACCAGCGTGTGCAAACTTCCTTGACGGTGTAGACTGTGGGTAAAGTTTGCGAAACCTGGGCATTGAAAGAAACGCAAAATGACTGCGTTGGTGAAGATACGAAAAGTGCGCGGAGGGCATCGCAGCTAAATAAAGAAACTCATTGGAATGACTAAAGAACTAATAGCGTCGAACGAAGAGACGGCAGAAGCAAAACTAGTGTTGGATAAAAAAAAATTACGTTCACGGACAAACTAAGAACGTTAAAGGACCTCGACGATAAAATATTAAATATACTTTGTGGCGACAAGGATCTCGAGGAAGAAATTGATGGGGAAATAGAAGAATCAGAGAACATAATGGCTGAGGTACAAACACTAATTTTAAGAATTAATAGTAAATTATGTTTGAATATCGAAGGGTCCTTGCCCAGTACGTCGTCTGCTCCTCAGAGTTCTAGTAGTGCGACGGCGACAGGGAATAGCAAAAGACAGCAAAAGGTTCTCGAATGTTAAAAGATGGTTTAAAATATACATCCGCGAGCTTGCCGTTTCCGTCGTTGAATAGCGTCAGCTTAGCGTCAACTAATTCGCTTAAGTTACTACATTATTATTCTGGCCGAATAACTGAAAGTCGTTATGTTACGCATACAATTGTATCAAAACAAGCATAAAACAGTTTCAATGTAGTCCACAGTAATAAATATTGATCTTAATTAATAATATACCTGGCTTGCCAGTTTTGAAAGCGGATTTTGCTGCGCTCCGAATGTAATAGTCTAGAACGATTGAAAGCGGCAGTAGATCGACCCCTATAAATCAATTGAATTCTTGCAAAGTTTGAATAACTAAAGTCTGTTTTCCACTAGCGAAATTTGTCGTGCGAATCTTTTATCTTATAAGCTCTAGACTGGAATTATAATTAGAATTTTAATAAATTATTTTCAATTTTAGCAATAAAAATTCGATTCATGCGATGAAATTCGAAAAACAGGCTTAAGTTAAGTACGACACGGCACAAAATTTGCTAAATCATGTCACATTATCCGCCAAAGATTCGACTTAATTTTTCGCATAATACATTAGCAACAACGAAATAACATAAAATTTCCAACCTATAGTGTACTACCTATGTAGCCGCATCATGGACGGCATTTCTAGAAAGTCCAGTAGTTTGCTATACATGAACAAACGAAAATTATAAAATCCATGGCGTTTTAATTAAGCCGAGTCAGATAGAGGAATAAAAATAGCTACGCACATGAATCTACGAATAGCAATAAATCGTTGCCCACCCTGTCCAGTGTCCAGTGATCAATCGACAACTTTAAAAAGTGAATGGCCACCAAGCACCAGCTAGACTAGAAGATAATCAGAAAACAATATATGCTGGCATAAACATGTCATTGAAATACCGGTAATTTGCTCTAAAATGGTTATTCCAGATTAAAATATTCACAATTCTATTTCTAATTGTAAGACCATACTCAGTTGCACACTAAACAAATCCATCGCAGCAAAACGCCACAGTAACTGTGTCTTATACGAATTCGTATACACGCCATAATAATAGAGACTCCTGCCCACTAACCTATACTGATAAGGCCAATGGTTCTGCCGTGAAACAAAATATTATGAAACACATTAATTAAAAAACAATTAACTAATAAAGTATTTTCACTTGTTCGTATATGATATGTTGAAACAGAGGCGGGATAAGTGTTAAACGTGAACAAGAATCACGTTTAATACTGTTGCACTTTTATTGTGTTTATATTAAGTGGAATATTCGGCATGAGCGCACACATCATATTAAAGGATCGTATTACATTACTAAATTCTAACAACAACATCTTGGAGAGTAGAGAGTTACGGCCCATAACATTTAAAACATTTAATGGGTCAATTTTACTCGAAACCTCACATTTAAAACATTTAATGGGTCAATTTTACTCGAAACCTTAGTGGCTTACTTTTTCGCTGGTTGTTGCTAATTCAAATGCTTATTAGGTGTCAAGATGACTCCAAATAGGACACAAGGTAGACGCCGTGAAAACCAATACGTACTATTTCGTAAATTGCTGAAAAGTGTACAGCAACCACGCTACTACAAAACAGACACGTATTTCCAAGATTAATTTACCTTCGCTCCATTTTCATCCACAAGTCATCAAATTTAAATGTGTGAATAAATATAAATCATAAATTTTAACTCCTCTTTACCGCCATATTGGATTGTCTCGCGACCAAGCCGTGATTTGTAACTGAAAAGTGAACAGCTAACACGTCGATAGCATATAATCTACTTCGTAGATTCAATAACTGTGCATGTTGCCCGACGGCAAATTAAATACATTGATAACTCAACTTACTTTGACGGAAATCGGCATACTGTATATCAACACCTAACTGGCACCATAAACCTAATTAAAATAATTGTCGGATTATGATATTAAGTGATCATGTTATAGGAAATAGTTTATATTCCCTTGTAACTCAGGAGTAGAATTTTCTCTCAGAATATAATTTCTCTTACTGGTGCTTGAATACAACTTTAATTTTTCATATGGAGTTTAAAACCAGGAAAATAGATTTTGATACCAAATGAACAGCGACTAAATGAACAAAATCAAAGCTTTTGCAATAAACAGTTATTAGGCTATTAATAAAACTTTCCTAGGCTAAGGCAGCAAAACTGAAAAGTTTATTCGTGCATACTGATGTTATAAAGTATAATGTAAACTGCACGAAACCTTTGCTTCGAATCCAATAATAATATGTTATTTTACATCAAAAGCTATATTAATACTTGAAAGTACTTATAGTCTTATTGCATGGATGTGATAATTTCGTATTTCATAAGGTATTTAATTATCCCACACGTCTTTGCATGTAACAATGATCTTAGTCGTATATTTCCTATTGTATCCCACATGCATATTATTATACTTTATACAATTGGTATTTCAATGATTCGCATGCATGCAGGCACCTTCTATAAAAACATAATTTGAGATGCTGATCGGTTCTCCTAAATATATAATATTATGTATCTACCTAATTTAGAAAAATAAAATATTTTCGAAAAAGTTAAAGCATTTTTAAAGCCTTAAATAAATATATTACTGCAATCATTACAAATTTTAAATGATTATAGTCGAACCTATATACAGAATCATTGCATCAGGATAGTCGGCGTCTCGGCGAATAGTTGCGATTTCCGAATAGTGTTGTGTATAAATTCAGAATTGTAACGGAAAGTGCCTCGTACGGCCATGGTTTTTGAGTACGATTTGCGCCGTTTCCGTTTCGATAAACCATTATAATGTGATACTCTATAGTCTATAGTATATCATACATGCATGCCACTCCATTTTACTCAACTCAACTATAATTAAAATGAGAAAGCCGCAGAAGTGCTGACGTCTCTTCAGTCATTGGAAAATACTCCAGCTGCGTGGGCATGTTGTAAAACGCGGAGTGGAGTGGATTTGTAAAACGCGGAGTCAAAATTTGTAAAACGCGGAGTCAAAATTTGTAAAACGCGGAGTCAAAATTTGTAAAACGCGGAGTCAAAATTTGTAAAACGCGGAGTCAAAATTTGTAATCGTAAATTAAAGATCAAATCACTCCCTATTAAGGTATGCCAACACGTACTTCTTTTAATGTGTGAGTTGACACCCGAATTCTAAAACCTTCCGACCAAAATGATAGTACATATTTTGGCATGTGCCGCTGTCATGTAGGGAATATATTTTTATAGCTTCGTCTCGTGTGATTGTAGACGTTATTTCAGAATGGAGGGGAGCTTTAAGCTCCCAAAACTTGTGCCGAAACAAAAGAAGGATTTAGAGCTACCGAGATTTGATTGGGCAAGTATAGCGAAACAGAAAAAGCTTGGATCTGGCAGTTTCGGTTCTGTGTATCTAGCTAAACACGCTGGTACCGCACAAAATGTCGTTGTAAAGAAACTTAAAAGCGTCTCTATCGACTCACAGACGCGCTTCGTGGAAGAGGCGAAGATTTTGAATAGCGTTAAAGGACACCGCAATATAAGCAAATTTTTAGGATTTTGTAGTGAGCCGCACTCTATAATGATGCAGTACTCAAGATTCGATTTTGGCTTTTTCGGAGTTGAGAAAAGTGTGAGTTCTCTCGCTGACTTTCTTCAATTTGTCGACACTGAGTTCGAGTTTTCGTCAGTTGCTAATTTGTTGCCAGTATGTGTTAAAGATATACTCGCAGGACTTGATTATTTGCACAATCATAATATAGCTCACCGAGATTTAAAACCTGGTAACATATTGGTTTGTAACCAGCATTTGGATGATGTTGCCGGTGATGACAAAGCCATGGCCAAGGCTTACGAAGAGTGTCCCATTGTATGCCAACTTACTGACTTTGGTCTCAGCCGTAGTGTCGACATCCAAACCAAGTCAGTTGTTATGTCTAAGACAACGTCAGTCAGTTGTGGTACTCCTGCATACATGGCGCCAGAAATGCAGCTAAATCAACTGGTTTTTTGCCAGCCACGAAGATCTGAAACGTGCAGATATGTGGTCCTTGGGCCTTGTTATGCATATCATGATAAATCCAGATCTTGGTAGTCCTTATCGAGCTGAATTAGAGCAATCTAGTGCGCCCGATATCCATATGGCATTGAAAGATCTTCTGACGAAACATCGACTACCTCAACATGGTGCAAAATATGAGCAGCTGCGAATAACCTCGTGGTGGCAACTTGAAGATATATTCAATCGGTGCGCTAATTTTGATGCGATGGCTAGACCTTCCACAGCAGAGATGCTTTGCTTGATTAACAAGAGCTTGGTTAACTATTTAACTCCTCCACCAAACGATCTAGTTCTGACAACTAGGTTGCACAGGAAATACCCTAAGGATGGGCAGCTACAAATATCACCAACTATCTCATCAGTCTATCTCCATGTCAGCTCGTACTGTGCACGAGCAGCCCTCCCAGACTTTACACCGGCATTGTGCTACTTACCCAACGATTTGGCTCCATTTCTTCATAAGGAACACTACGATTTAATGTATGCAAAATTAGGACTACGTTTTGCACAGAACTTGTAGTCAATTAGATTCAAACGACCTCGAGTTTAGACGTTTGACATAAAAAGAAAATTGACAATTACCATCTGTTATTCTGTTGCATAATAATACTTAGTGAAACTCAATGAGAGACAAGATATTCATATTCATATAGCCTATCGGTGTAGAATACTAAAACATTCGATGGGCATCTTAATGATAAATCTGCTGAGTGCAATAGAGTGAGTGCTATACCGAGTGCAAAACTATCAAAATTTCAAAAAATCCCCTCCCCCACCCCCCTTTCACGCAAGTAAAATATATTGACTGTACCTCATTTGATGACGATCATCATTTCATGAAGGAAGCAAGCTTGTAATGTAAAATTTATGATGAAATTTGTATGAAAAAGACTGTCAATTTA